TTAGTTCATGTTTGTCCTTACTATCTAAAATTCATTTTCAACCATACGTTTTATGGGATCCACAACTTTTTAATCACATATTTCATCAATTTTTATCAAAATTTATAAGAAATTTAATTTTTATCAAAATCAAATAGGGGCTTAATATGTAGAGAGATGCCACACTTACAGAAATGATACAAGGTGTTTCAATTCGTCAAATAAATTCTATATGCTTAGAATAATTCTAATTTGTTATTATTTATGCTACGTTATGATTGATTGATTTGAGTTTTCAAATACACATCCCGATATAAAAAATGATGATAATCTCTCCATTTTCTATCTTCTTTGCTTGACCTTAAAGCAAAGGTACAAAAGTAAGACATAAGAGATCTTCCACAAGCTAACTCAAATCCTATAACCTTTTAACTCTTTGTGATCATGGAGTTCTCCATTCAAGTTCTCTTTTTACTTTTTTCATTCTTTTTCCCCCCTCTATCCAAGGAAGTATTACTTTTCTTTTATTGAAATGAAAAGGACGTAACACTCGTTAGGTGTGCAAGTAAGCATGACGTCCAAAAAATAAAAAAATAAAAAAAAATCTTTCAAGCCTATGATAGACACACATTTCATATCAAAATTCATACTTTTGACAATTTAACATAAAGTTCCCTTCCATAGTTCCGTCACATTAGTGACATTACTATTAGGGCGTGTTTGATACCTCCATTTAAATTTTCCATTTTCCATCCAAATGTGTTGTTTGATGACCAAAATTTTCCATGGAATTGCTTTTCTTCCCTACCCTCCTAGTGAACCATTCTCTTGCTTTTTAAGAAAAATCAATTCCTTTGATTTTGATGGGAATTGGGTATTCCATCTTCTTTATTTATTTATTTTTTTTATTTTTTTGTAATGAAAACAAATTCCATTCTTTTAATTAACAATTTTCACAAAAACAAAACCAAACGAACACCAAAATATTCAAAATTTAAACATTTTTCGGTGAAAAATTATACAAATCAAACATATTTAATTGACAATTTCCAGTAAAACAAGTTCTAGGCAATTCAATTCTCTAAAATTCGTTTTTTTTTCACCCAAATTTCATTCTTGCAATCAAACGGACCCTTAGCGTTTCAAGTGCTCCCCCGAGCTTATAAAGGATTACATGTGCTAGAGCACTTGCTCAATGGCTTCATTAGGCCATCCAAATATATTAATCAGTTACATGTTTACAAGACAAAAAGAAATTAAAATATTATTTATTTTTGGATATTTTAATTTAAAATGTGTATATTTCTTACTCAGTTATTGATTTTAGAATTGTTCATTATAGTCAAATGAGAGACAAAATGCATGGACTAGAAATTATGAAATTTTTTGACCGAAATGAGTGGGAATATTAGCAAAATGACGATCGACGACCCATCAATTTCACTATCATGCGGGCTATCATAGTGAAACCGATCCATTCTAAATAGAAAGAAAAAAAATATGAAAATAAGTGAAAATAATTGGCATTTCAAGAAACTTATAATTGCAAAAGCAATTATTGCTGTGATCATTTGGTCTACCATTTGACTCTCTCATGGACTAGGAGAAAGAAATCAAGCACTTGTACGAAAATAAGTTTTAAAATATTATAATTAACTAGTTCGAGTATAGACTGAAATTGAAAAATAAACACGTAAATAATTAACTTTATTAGATTAAATATAAAAATTCAGTATCTTCTCACGAATTAGTGAATTAGACAGGATTCCTTTGTATTGTACAATCTAACTTTATGATCTCTTTTAGAAATTGAGAGAAGGAACATCTTTAATTACTTAATATATTATTTTTAAAACGCCACTTCATTTGCAAGTTATATTATATACTCTTCAAGAAAAACGAAATAAACTTTGCAAGTGGCAGCCAAACTCGAACTCCCATTCTTTTTGTGATCAAATTCGTGTTAATCTATCTTACCTAAAAATTTAAATGGTTTGAGAAAAAGAAAATTATATTTATTAGGGTTATCGCTCGACATAGCCAAACTGGCAATGAGTAGCACCCATCAATGACGACCTTGACTATAGACAGAGTAGGTGATCACCTATGGCTCTACTTTGGCGAGGAGCCTAAATTATGTAAGGTTAACTGGTTGGTTGAAGAAATACGAAAATTATATTTATAAAATTCTTAAAATAGAATTATCACCATGCAAACATTTAAATGACATAAAAAAAATTGAAAATAAAAAAATTTAGAAGAACATATAAGTGATATAAAACTTATCACTTACATTTATTTATCATGTAAATGTATTACAAACTTTACTCTCTTAGAGTAATTTGACAATTTATCTTCCAAACATTCCTTCTCTTTTCTTAAACAAACAAAAAGCTCTTTTTTTTCTCTCTTCAAATTCTATGTCTAGTAGTAACTCACCATAATTTTTTTTCAATCCAACAAACAATGAATTAAATCACTCTGAATTAAAATTTTGAAGATTAATTTAGTAGATTGGTCTTGTCTCACTACCATTATTATAGCCTTACAAATTTTTTTTTTGTCCTTATCTTTAAAACATATACTACAGAGTACATAAACTATTGTTATTATTGTTTTGTTTTAATATCAAGATAATAGCCTTTTTAGTGTTCATACTTTTGTTTGTAAATTAATTTAGTATAAATTAATATAAAATTAAAAGTTCGTTTGTATTTTAACGTCATTTTCATTATCTGTACATGAATCACTCAAATGAAATTTAATTTTGTTTTAGTTGAAGTGAAAAAAATGATGAAAGAAACAAACAGACACATTTGTCATTGCATTATGATTCTGTATGCCAATCTTCAATTATAATTTGTATTGCATGTCAAAATTAGATATTTTATTATTTTCCTCCAAATTTTGAGGCTTAATTTTTCTATGCTCAATTTACTCTCTGTAAGAAGGCTCAAGGAAGAATATGATGATTTTTTTTTAATGGGACTTTATATTTAAAGTTGGCATAAGTCCCCAAAATATTAGTGCCGGCCCGCACCCGTCCATGCATGCATTTGTTGAAACTTGAAACTTATGTGGTCAAGTTTTCAAAATCAAGCAGTAAAAGGACAGTGAAAAACAAAGTCAAAAGGGTTTGGACTATGTAAGAAAGAGCAATAATCAAAAGCGGGTATGTTTTTAATGTAATAATTATTAAATTACTGTACTTACAGATTATTACTGCATCCGGATTTCTAACCTTAAACTCAACGGTATAGATTCAAGGATCAATGACGGCCCCCCAACAAGGTCCAACCCCCAAACCCCACGGCCGACAGCCACTTTGTTAGATTGCACCAAAAGGTATGTCAAATCATTTTGAAATATTTACATAACAAGAAAAAAAGGGGCAGGATATCTAATACATTCATCCGTGGAGCTGTTTGCTAGACATCATTTACTTAATATTTTTTAGTAACAGAGCCAAGTTGCCACTATTCGTGACAAGAGACCAATTGGCCCCCGATGAATGGCTCTGTTCGTGTAGCAAAACTCAAATTTGTTTTATGGGAAGATGTGTACGTTTAGTTTTTAAAACTTATCTTCACTCTTTCTCTGCATTCATTCTCTTGTACATGAGACCAACAATTAGAACAATCCACGGCCGGTTAGAGATGCTCTCCTCTTCATCTAACTTAGAGATAGACCACATGCATTCATTCATTTTTTTTTTCCAGCTGATTTATATGCATCAATATGTCTTTCTAACATCGAGTACTACGGGGAGGGTTTTGTCAATCTAACTAAGGATGCATCTAGATGTGTTAAAATGTACCGAACCACACAACCTCTCGTGTATTGTCACTCCACATTAGAGATGCATCTTGAACTGTCAAAATGTTATTGTCTGACACGTAAACATCTCGAAACTCAACAATCATATTATATACTAATCAAGGAAAACGAAATAAATTTTGCCATTAGCAGCAAAACTCAAACTCCGAATCTTTTTGTGAGTTTATTCATGTTAATTAACCTATATTGACTAAAAATTTAAATGGTTTTGAGAAAAAGAAAATTCTATTTATTAAGTTAATCACTCAATATAGCCAAACTGGCAAATGAGTGGCACCCATGCATGCATATTGCATGTGTGAAACTTGGAACTTCTGTGGTCACAGGTTACGTTCAAAATCAAGCAATAAAAGGACAGTGAAAAACAAAGTCAAAAGGGTTTATGTTTTTAAGGTAATAATTATGAAATTACTTTCCATACAGATTACTCTATCTTGATTCTTAAGCTTAAAACTCAACGGTATAGATACAAGGATCTGTAATGGCCCCCCAACAAGGTCAAACCCCCAAACCCCACTGCCGACAGCTTTTGCAATTTGTTAACCACTTTGTTCGATTGCAACAAAAAGTACTTCAAATCCTTACATGACGAGAAAAAAAGGTAATGGATGTCTCGTACATTCACTTAAGAATCGTGTGCTAGACATCCTTTACTTAATTTTCTTATAATTCACGTACGTTTAATTTTTTAAAAATTATCTTCGCTCTTTCTCTACATTTCTTCTCTTATACATGGGACCGACAATTAGTACAATCTACAACCAGTTAGAGATGTTGTTCTCTTCATCCGACTTAGAGATGGACCACATGCATTCATTCAAATTTTATTTTCAACGAATTTATCTGCATCAAAATGTCTCTCTAGATTGGGCGGGTATGATTGTGTAAGTCAAGTACTACGGGGAGGATGGTATTGTGAGACGAAATTAGGATGCATCTAGATGTACCAAACCACACAACCTCTTATCTATTGTCACTCAAGATTAGAGGTACATCTTGAAGTGTCAAAATATAATTGCCTTACACGTAAAAGGATTCGAATAGCCGAGGCTATGAATTTTAAAACTAAACGAGTCTCCGTTTGGTTCATATTTATAGAATTTATAAACACTAGAGTTTTTTGAGATTTACAAATACTAACAACGTAACTTATTTATATATAATTTAAACTATTTATAAAGACATCTCAAACATGGTAACATAAATATTGTATCAATTTATGATAATACAGACATGTCCATACAAAGTAGTATTCCCGGAAAGGACGAGATGGAGAGAAAGAGAGAGATTTAGCATCATCATAGCTACAGAATGCAGACATTCTTCATTCCTTGTCCTTTTCACTCTTCTGTGTAAATTGCCGGCTCTTTCTGCCACCATTAACTCTCTTCTTCTTTCTTTAATTACGATAATAATATTCTGATTTTAGTACCCTTCTTGTGATAATGGCAGAGTGATTAAATGCATGCAATTTAACTTGAACTCTTAAATACGAAACCAATTTAAGTGCATATCTGGTGTGCAGTTCGGAACAACATTGGACAGTACAATGAACGAAATTATAGCTTCTTTATTTGCCATTCCGTGCTACCCAAATCTAGATAGATAGCTAATGAGGGTTTTTAATTGCAGCCACAATAATCCTGCTTAAAGATGGTAATTTCATCTGCTGTTCATGAACCCTAATTTTCTTGAAGACAGGCTGATGCGTTGAGGAAACGCACGATACTACAGTTCTCCATGAATCATTAGAGCTATCCGAGTTGAAAAATTCATCCATTATTCCACTTGGGCTGCTTGGAACTTGACAAATTTTCCGCTTCTGGGAATTTTTTTGGCCATGTAAACACCTGTTTGACAAATCTGAAATAAGCTCATAGCAATCATTCACTTTCTCCTACAAAAACGAAATTACAGGCTCCATTAGTCAACGTAAATAATTTTACTCAAACACATTGTCAGAAAACTTAAAAAATTTAAGCTGCTAGAAAATCCATTTTTTCATGTAAATCAACACGTCCTCTCATGGAGACCAAAACTCATTTTATTAAACGGGGTGACATGAACTCAGGTCTTTTTATTTTCAACACGCCTTTGTGTGTGGGCCAGATTCGCGTTTAGTATTAAGTCCTACACACAAAATTTTAATGAATGGGAGGCGCAGTTAGTTTCTTTGATGCTCTCATATACGTCGAACTAAGTCGTCTACAAGTGAAGATTGTGGATTGGACACTTTTTCTGGTCTTGATTGAACATCGAAAGAAAGAAAAGAGTAATGTTATTCTTCATTATTGACGGTAAACAACAATTTAAGTGACAATTAAATAATATTAAGCCCGTTTGGCCCCTATTTTTTTAAAATGAAAATATGTGAAATAATATTTTTTTTGTAGACGAGTGATTAAAAAAAAAAAAAAATATTTCGATTTAAATGTAATATTATTTTATGAAAGTTGAATATGAGAGTAAAAAATGAAATGAGTACGAAGGGGAATATATTGTACGTTCACTTAAATACAAAGTCAATGACTTATTTAACTGAAATTACAAAGTATGCCATCTACAATGGGGTGTTGGATAGCATTATTCAAAAGAAAAATAAAGGAGGGGGGTGGGGCGGGGGTGCACGGGGGCGAGGGCAGTGAGGAATCAAACCTTGTTGATCTTAAGAACCTCAAGAAGCTGGTTTTCATAGTTAATCGCATTGCAAGGCTCAACTTGATGAATAACGTGAAGCATGGTTGCCGTAGCCAAGACAGATGGTAGATGGCGTACGAATCTTGAATCTGTATAATCATACAAAACGCATAAGAAATATATTATTACTTTTAAGTTACTTATTTGGTGAAAGTTGCTTCTTTTCCTTTTTTTAGCCTACCCGCCAATAGAGAGAGAAGGAGATTCTCACAGCACCGGAGAAATTCCCAGTGAATATTGCTCTTTAATCCTAGCCTTCTAATAATGTGATCAAGAAATGAAAGTGGAGTCACTGGATTCATCCTCCAATTGAGCGCTGATAACACCAGAAGCTCCATTCTTCGAATGGTTTTCGCCTCAAACATGCATTTTGTATCCTCAATCTAATGAAATCAGCAAAATGTTAAACCAAAAAATAAAAATAAATAAAGATTGCCGGTAAAATACAGGGGTTTTAGCTACTTTTCTTTCTTTCTTTCTTTTTTTTTTTACAGCACTTCTCTACGTATTGTCATAAAGAACAGGTAAAGAAAAATCTACTTTTAAGCATTGAAACTACGTACTTGAAGATCTAAGAGGAGGGGAACACAGGTTTCTTCAACTTTTGCAGCCAAAGAGAGGCAAGTAACAGCTGCAAGTTGGATCATCCATGGCTTCTCTTTCTGAAAATGGATGCTGCAAAGGAACCTGTCAAGATAATTTACTGCAAGAATGGCAGTCAACGCTGAAAACCCATAAAAAAATTTGACTTTCAAGATCCATTCAACTGCATCTGTGCGTGCCTGCAGAGAAAGAGAAATGTCTGTTCCATCGAGAAATGCTTCATTTTCTTTGCAGAAAAGTGAGTTAAGTTCTTCATCTTCCCAGAACAAATCTTGTTCGGTTAACAGTAAAGGAAGATGAGACAGATTTCCTCCATTAAAGGTGGTTTTTTCATTGCTTTCTTCTTCAAATTCGCCCCATTTTTCCTCTTCACAGTACAGGGAATCAAGCAAGGAGGACTGCGCATTTTCTTCTGGAGTCATCTTCTTCTTGAAAGAATGAGTTTTTGCTCTTTGCTCATAATACAGTACAGAAAAGTAAAGCCAACCCCATTCCCTCTCTATATCTCACACACACACTTTTATCTCTCCGTGTATCTCTCACAGACTGAGAAAGATAAAGGAAGAGATCTTATCAAAGCGGGTATCACGCTTGTCTTTTCTTTATGCATATAGGCTGGAATATAGATTTATATATGTGCGTTAGTTTATGATTTTTACTTTAAAAATCTTTATGCTATCGAACTGTGTGGAGTGTGTGTGTTTTTTCTTGGCGGGCAGGAATTAGAAATGGCACGCACACCAAGCAGGGCCCCTCGAAAACTACCTCTGATGGAAGCAACATCAGATACACAAAGATTTTGCATTTCTAAGGCTATCTTTTCAGAATACAGTATATGAAAATTTACATTCTGGGGAGTATACTGTACAGTGTATGTATAGACTTATTGAAGCAATATTTTAAGTCAAGTATCAGTTAAGATAAAGTTGACTGGTTATTGCCTATTGGCTTTGAAGAACAAGTACACAAGAAGATAAGCTTGGTGGCTTTTGGGGGATGGAAAAGTGGCTTTTTTTGATTGATGCACTTGATGGTGATTTTTGTTTGTTGTTTAGATTAAAAAAAAAAAAAAAAAAGGGTTAGAATCCCAATCTTGAGGGCCTTCACTGTCCCACCCTGTTCTTGGAGCATCGTGAGGAAAGTAAATCGCGGGATGTGCCCCAGTAGGCCAGGGAACAAGAGCTTGCCCGTACACTGATACCCACAAAGAATCCAATTCTATATCCCAAGAATCGAACTCTCAGACTGCGGCTGTCAATAAGGTTGAGACTATTTCATTCCTATCATTTGCACTATTGAATTATGTCCTATGGGGTTGTTTGTTGTTTTGATTACATTGATAGTGGGAGGTCAACTCTTTAATATGAAACTTAAGTGGATATTTTAATACTGAATAAAGTTTTGCACTATTTAGCATATGAGATGTGTAGTAAAAGTAAAAAAATGGGGTTTAGACTTTAGGTGAGTGTTTGTTGTTTGGATTCGTGTATCGAACAATAGAGTTAAAATGTAAACTTAGGGTCTGTTTGGTAGAGATTTTGAGAATTGATTTTTTGACCGTTAGAAGAAAAGTGGAATCCACATGTGAGAGAAGAAGTCAAAAATTACGGCTTGAATAGTAAAATAACGGTCAAAAAATCAATTTTTTGGGGCAAAAAATCCCTACCAAACGGGGCCTTAATCAATCTCCTATTGCGCTTCAATGCATTTTGAGAAGAATTAGTTACAAGTATTATTTCATTCGTAACCATAACTCATAATTTGACTCGTCAATAACAATCATTTTGAATTAACACTCGCACAAAGATAGAGCACATGTTTCCTCTATTGGCACAATACAATCGACACTAAATATGGCATCTTCAATGTGAAACACAGAACTTGTTCGTATTCAATGCTAAACGACCCAACGTCCTTCTTTTAGTCGTTTAAAATATAAATAGATAGCATTACTTTGATTAATTAAGGAATAATTAGGTATTCCCAAAGACCAGAAGGGCAACGAAACCAATGTGTCAAAGTCCTTTAATGTGCGTGTTGGGGGATGCATTGATGCCCTTGGACAATTGAAAATTTGTGAAGTCACTATATGAACTTCGAAATTTGGGTGTTGGGGGCCATTACAATGTGGATTTTATCGAATATCTACTGTAGCATATTTGATAAGAAAGATTAGACAATATAGAATATTCCAAAAGAAAAAGTTAGAATATTATTTATTATATTGTTCAAACTTATTCAAGAGCTCGTACCAAATATGCCCTTAACATATATAATTAAGACCATTTCATCCTTGTATTATCAATTGACACCTCAAATGTTGGAATTATGAGTAGGGTAATTAACACAAAATATCCCCATTGTACTCATTGCGCAAGTCATTTCTATCAGTTCAAACTTGGTATTTGCACCCTCATTTCAACTTTTTCTTGCGAAATTGGTTTTCCCGTCTTGTTCCATCAATTAGAGCAAAATGTTTGTATCGTTTGCCTTCATTGCATAAATCATCCCTATCATTTTAATTGTAGCATTTGGACCCTCGTATCGTTATTTTCTTTATGCAAAAGGTCCTGAACGTCTATTTTTTTAATTATAGTATTGTAAAGTGACTAATTTACCATCATCTTTAATAAAAATAATAATATAAAAAAATAATAACTGTAGCCAAAGTCCTAAAATTTTTAAATAGTGCAATCGAAGTCCAATTAAAGTAATTTAAAACATGATTAAAAAAAATCATCTTACAAAAATGATTTCTTTTCCTCTTAGCTGGATTTGACTTTGAAAAGTTGGGATTGGGATTTGAATTAAGATTTTGAGTGAACCCTCTGATGAAAGAAGAAATTCCATTCTTCGGACGTCATTTTATAAGGCAAAATAAATAATAATAATAATAAATAAATAAATAAATTGAATAAAGTTAAAACAAAATTCAAAGTTGATGTAGTGGGTAAAAAAAATAAAAATAAATAAAAATAAAGGTTGAACTCCAACCTTAAGAGCCCCCATCGCCCCGCTCCTAAAGTTTTGTGAGGGAGGTAAATCACGGGATGTATCCCAACAGGCCAGGAAATAAGAGTTGAGGCGTACACTGCGCCTACAAGGAGCCAAATTCCATATTTCAGGAATCGAACCCCCACACTGCGGCTGCCAACAAGGCCTGAGATAACCTCACTCCTATCCTTTGCACCACTGATTTATGCCCCGAGGGCGGGTACATGTGTATATATATGTGTAGGTAACAAGAACAAGAAGATAAAAACGAGAATTTCCTGAAAATAACTAAATCCCTAAAAAAATCTTATAACTTTGCTGAAAATAAAAATGATATTGGAACATGAAATTTGATTACAAGAAAAATGCTAAATCCCTGGATGGGGAGAATAGGTGGTGGTGGTGAAACGGCCAATGGCAGGGTGCGGAAATGGATGGAGAAGAAAAACCACTTTGTTTTTTGTTTTTCTATTTTTAATTTTTTTAACTTTCTTTTTAATTATTTTGATGGTAGTGGTGGTAGGTCGGGGTTAGGAGTAGGGGTAGGTTGGATTTAATTAAAAAATGAAATATTTTTCTTTTGTTAGTATATTTTAAAATTTAAATTGTTTTATTGAGGTTCATTTGTAATTTTTTAAAAATTTGAAACTTTAGCAGTAGTTAATATTTTTTTTATATTCTTTTCTTCTTTTCTATATCTTCATTTAAACATGAGTGCAAATTATTCATTTTACAATGGGTAAATATATTCACACCATAATTTTGTTAACTACACCACACTTTAATCACTAAAAATATTCTTGAAGTGTTCTTATTTTGCTACTTATGTTCTTAACTTTTTTTTATTTTTTATTTTTTTTACTATCAACTCTCTATTAGTTTTTACATCTTGTCTATAGAGACGGTTTTTGTCCAAAATGTTTGTTATAAGGGCCAAAAAGACATATTTATCTCTCGTATATAAATAGTCGAAATAAATAACTAATACAAAGTTAAACAAAATATTTGTTCATCTTTTCAATGCACGTTAGCAAAATATTTGGATGAAATTGTGATTAGAGTTAATTAAAGGTTAAAAATGACAATTGGACAAGAAAAAAGTTGATGACATAAAAGCAAAAGTGAGTAAATATTGAAAACATTTTTTGTAATTAAAATGTGGTGCATATATAAAAAATTGTCGTGTGAATATAATTGCCCTTTTTACAATTCTTTAATACAGAAAATAGATAATGAGGACCTTTTGCACAAAGAAATGGTTGATATAATGCACCAAATGCCAAAATTAAAATATGGACGATTTGTACAATGAAGGCAAATTATATGGATGTTTAGCATCAATTACTCATATTTGACATATTGAGGTGGACCAATACCACAATAAAAATTTGAAATAAGGATGTAAATGTCAAGTTTGAAACAATATAGACGATTTGCGCAACACGTACAAATGATAAGGATTTTACTAATTACCCTTATAATAAGACCTCGTCAACTTTGGTTTTTGGTAAAACTACCACCGCATATTTGGACAAATCTAATTCAGATCCCTTTATTTTAGGAGTCCATCACTAAACTTAAGAGTAAGTTGCTTATGTCCTTTTTCTATTACTCCCAAAAAAATAAAATGAAACAATCGCCATAGTTTCTAATGAAAGATATATTTACTCGGCCTCAAAGATAGTTATACAAAAATACGATAAATGAAATCTTAGAAATTTCAAGATATGAATACATTATAGCACACATACAACAATAGGTTCTAAAAATACACGAGCAATGTTCTTTTAAAATATCAGTATTTTAAAAAGCTCGCCTAAATTTCATCTAGAATTTAAGTTTGACCTTATTGCAAGTCACATTTTACATTTTTTTTCTACACCTTAGGCTTCACTTAGGCTCTTAAAAATCTTGAAGTTTAGTCTTATCGTCTAGTCATACTTTATGCAGTTTAGAAGACTAATAAATACGTTTTAACAGCTCAACCCCACTAGATGATTTTAAAAGCACATGCAACTAGCATTACTGCAATTATACGCTAACCAGCCAACATCAAGTATGGCTTTGTGGCATGCATGCCTTGAAGTAGATGCAAAAGTGAAATGCAATTGCTAGGCTTGCTAGCTATGGCTTCATTGGAGGCTTATCTGCCAGATTCAGGACTTTCCCTTCAATCCTTTTCATATTTCTCTTTCTATATTGGACCACTAACTACGAGTGCTGCTACTAACCAATGGATAAATACTCTGGAAAAGGAGTCCACGAACGTGGCGTAGTGGTAAAATAGCAGGGTTCTATACGGATTATCGGAGGTTCGAATCCTCACGACAATTGGAAGGCAGTTGTTCTGAGGCAAAATTATGGTGCGTTTTGTCGTCCCTCCGAGAATCCTGTTCGCACATCGTAAAGGGAGGTTTACAGGGAGGAAAACCGCATCCCAAATGTCTGGTCCAAGTATGTATAAGCTGTGATTGCATCCGAGTTTACCTGGGTGGTGAATCGGGGGGGAAGGCCGCCTCTCCTCAGGATTAGTCAGACGAAACTTGAACACCTAAGTTATCAAATAAAAAAAAAAAAAAAAACCTCTGGAAAAGGGCAATATGGTCTTTTCATAATTGATCTTCAGCCTTTGTTTGGTGAAATTAAAGTTAAATTTGTAGTATATTTTGATAAAAGTTCGTAAAACATACGGTTAAAAAATT